AGAAGCAACAAATGAAATATTTTAAAATTTTCTTAGAGAGCTGTGACTAACAAAGGAATATATTGATTACACATACTAAAGACTGAAATTAGACACTAGGGAATCTTAACTTGAAAGAATAACTAAGCACTTGGGTGGAATATCTAGAAAAAAAACAGAATTCCTGAGTTCTGAATGCATTAGGTAAATTCTGCTGAGTAACCACCTAGCTATATTTAACCCCACTTCAAGTGCAAAAGAATAACCCTGAGGCTCCTCTAAGCTCTATTCTTCTGCATAGTCTAAAGCTTAACATATTTGACATTACTACCTGAGTGAATAACACAGACTCAAACAGTTCTTTAAAAAAATTCTACTCTCTAATAGTCACCTTAAAGACACTTCACGTAACTTACTTAGCTGTAGACTCTCAGTTCAAGTAAAAGACCTTGCCTAAAACAAACTGTACTGCTAGGTGTATTGGCAAAACTAACGGAAAGCCACTCATGAACCCAAAGACCCAACCAATGGGTTGTCTTCTCATACTCCTAGTCCATATACCTGAGGTCCTTTTCTGCTGAGGAGAGAATAAAGCAGTCAGTACTGTATACTGCTATTGCTCTCACAAACTGGGCCCTAGAATCTCAGAATAACTTAAAGCACAGGGCTTTACAAAGGATTTAAGAGCTGGCAACTCTACCAAACTCTATTTCTGTACTGAAAATGTTGCACGTCACCATGTAAGTTAATCTGCTTGCCCCACAGGAAGATGCTTTCTCATCCTGAAACTCAAAGCATTAACTGTTAAAGCAAGAAGTATAACATAATGGTACAACCTTTATAAATCTGTAACTTGCTAAAATAAACTTAGCAAAATAAACTTAGCAAATACATTGTGTAAGAAGTCAGACTAAAGGATTAAATCCTGTATATAATTGTCCAAAGCCAAGAATTCCTACAATAGAGCAACAGTCTTTACTCATCAGTAAAAAAAAAAAATATTTTGGGGCCTATTGTGGCATTATTGATAATTAAACACATAAGCATTCAATAATACTAGACCACAGGCCTGAAACAGAAGCAACTTGCTTTTCACAAAGCACAAAATTCAACTGTGAAACTGCTTGCCACAGGCCTTTCTGAAGGCTAAGCCTGCTTAATGTCAAAAAATACTATATGAATAGAGAGGTCAGTGTGATTATTGATGGTTATTTAGCAGCATGGCTGTGAAATAAAGCCTAGCTCAGCAAGTTTCTAACTCATGCATGCTTTAGAATATGACACTAAGGAAGAGGGTACTTTGTACACATTATCACAGATTCCTCCCTAAACTAAAAGCAATGCCCTTCATTCCTGAAAATTATATACTTCTGCTTTGGCAATATGCCACTGAGGTTTTAAGTATGCTTTACATAAAGTCAGTCCAGTGACCTGGACCACATTCATTAACTTCCAAAGTCTGTACCCTGTTGTTTTTTTTTCTGTCAAATATTTGCTTTGATTTCTAAGCCAAATCGTCTGAAAGCCACCACTCAAATCTGTCTAGTGTGCTTTATTTGGTTCTGAAACAGGTTTAAAATACATTTTTATTAATCCTTTTAGTCTGTTACAGAGCGTATCTGACACAGTAATATATTTTGTGCCAAAGCTCTATTTAAAAACATAGATTTAGACTGAGCTCATAAAACACAGGTCTACTCATCTCCAAAGAATTCAGGAAAAGATTGGGACTTTTCTAGAGCCAAGAAGTCCAAACTTAGGACTTCATTTACAGACAATAATACTATATTTTAAAAAGTATGTTTAAATACGTTTCTTGTCTACTGTTCACGTATTTAATTTCAAGGAAATAAAAATCTATGGATAGAAGTAAACTAAAATAATTTGAATAGTAGCTTTTAGCAACCTCAAAGTACATGCCCAGTGCTCCCTTCAACAGTATATGCCCTTTAGTAGTAAATGTGATATTTAGAACTTGTTTCACTATTTTTTTAGTAAAATGCAGTCATCTTTGCTTCATCATACATACTTGTCACTTGAACTTACTGCTCTGAATAAGTACAAAGAGATGAAAAGATACATTTATATTGAATACGAATTTTTGATGTACAGGAGCATAGACAAGAAGGTGCAGAAAACAAGCTCCGCAGCCCCATCTGTTGGCTAATTAAGCTCTGAAGAAAGCCATCCACCAGCCTCTAGTCAACAATGCTGAAGTAGAATCAGTTAATTTTTTGGTTACAATTCCAAGTTCTACCATCACAAATCTATGATATCTGAACATCAGGAGCAACTTTTACTACCTAAGCACATAGTAACTTAGTTTCTAATACACTTTTGTAACTTTTAATTTATTTTCCATTAGAACAACAGAGCACCCCATGTGCATAACGCTGCTTTTTTTTGAGCAAGGTTGAGGTTGCCTTGCTTGCATTTTCACTCAGATAAATGGTCTATAGTGAAGTTGCAGTATTTAAGCGGGGTCCCTTGATTTTTAAGCCCAAGGTAAAACCACTTGCTTCTAAAGCCAAGGGCTTGAAGGCATTTACTGTAGTTTATAAGTGACAAATGTTTCTAGCTCTCACCAACTTGTAGGGACCAAGATGGCCAGATCTTGAGTATATGAAATATGACCCGATTGTGTTAAAAACATAGAACCTAGCATCTGAGTGATTTAAAACAAAGCATGTAATTATACCATGAATAGAATAACTCCTTCGTATGAATGCAGTTCTAGTGAATAATTACAGTAGGACAGAGTACTTCCATACAGCAAGCAGAAGAAGATAACAGTATCACCATGACAAGTTCAAGGGCTGTTCTAAGGGTTTTAATCTATAAAATCCCACTGCAGTGAACCTATTTGTACCACAATAGAAAACAGCTGCTGTAAGCCTTAAGGTCAGTTTGGTTAAAGTCAGTTGCGATGAGGCTCCCAGTGCTGAAAATGGTGAGAGAAGATGATGGCAGAAGGATGAGAGCTAATGCACTTTTCCTGTGTAAGGACTGGTCCACTTAGAGGAATCAAAACAAATCTTACAGACTGGGGAGGTGGTTGAAAGGGAAAGCATAGAAGACAACTCAAAACTAAACACAAAACACATACACAAAAATTAATTGGTGTTAAGGAATGGTACTGCTGACCTCCTTTGTTAAATTATCAGTAGATACTTCCATGTACTGCCAATGGGGGGGGGTGGGGTGGGGTGGAGGGAAGTGTGCTCGTGAAAACATGCACTCCTGTAGGAAGGACATTATCTCAGAGTAAACTGCATCTGTATTAACAAGTGCAAGTTAAACAGCACTCAAGGTTAAAAAAAAAAGTTTAAAAGTAGTCTGGAACTTGAGACCTACCTAGGTGCTTGTTCCCTTAAGTTAGGCTGCATAGTTGCTCAATCAAAATCTAGTTCCCTGCACCCAAATGAAGAGAACTGCTACTAGTGTCATCAAACTGAGGATACAAGTAAGTTGACACTCAAACTCCAATGGCAGTTAAACTCTTGTCAAAGTCTCACTGAAGTCCTATGTGAAAATTCGGGTATCCAAGTAAAGTTTCAGACTAACTGCCACCTTTTGAAAGCTCTTTAGAAGAAAGAGAACTAATAAAGAATCTTAGTAATGCAGGATCATCTGACTCTATTATGTTCTTTTCAGTCAAAAAAATACTTTCCTTTCAAAGGACAAAATTCTATCCCTGCTTAGGCCACAATTATAATGAGCAATCTGTAGGATTCTAAAAAGATAACAGCTGCTGAGCAGTTTTGCTCTTTCATAGCTATCTATGCTATTATTCAAAACTCCATAGAATAAATGGACTTTCTATCACTTACCGACAAATCTTCAGGTCTCCTATGTTCAATAAAAAACCTTTTCTGCAAGAAGAGCTACAACGCTAATTCCCTTTGCACTGGAAATAATTTACGTATACTAGTTTTGGGAGAAAAAATGGCTGAGATCTTTGGGGCTTGGTAGCAGAAAAGCAAAGGGGAAGAAACCCATTGCATGTGTAGATCACAAGCTGGAAAGACCACAACCAAAACAGACAAAATGTGTGAGGAAAGATGGAAAGCAAAGAGTCATGGCATGTAGCATTCCAATTCTTGCACCTTGTATTTGACAAACTTAATTTAAATAGACTGTACACTCATATCATACTGATGTGCAAGAAAACAATATAAATCTAAGTGATGACATGGCAGACGGACTTCACTGTCAAACTCATCGTACAAAATAACTTAAGATTATTGTATTCTGCCTCCTGCTATGGTGCAAATACATTCACATCCATGAGACGTCAAACTGAAGAGAACAGCATTTTAGCATGTAGAAAAGCATGGTACTGCCCTTTTGACTACCTACTCATGGTGTTTAGAGCCAACAATTGCTGAAACAATTATTAGCACTGAGTATAACTAGCAATGTGATGGAGTCTTGTCTACGCTGCTTTAGTAATAAGGTGTGGCCTTGGGGTGGTGGCGGGGAATCAAGATCTTGTAACTCATGTTTTAGGAGTACTGCAGAGGTGAGAAAGTAGGTGCATTTCCAGATTATTTGTCGGAAAAATACAGAACTCATGACTGTCTGTTAAAGTATAGCTTAGAATGATATTTTTTCAATTTTGCAAAGAGTTGTCCTTTAACCGAATTTTTATATAGTTTAATTTTTTAATACACTTTGAGTAGCAAATTCTTCTCAGCTCTTGTATGATCTACAAACTCACAGTTCAGTATTCTGAACACCTTTGTGAGGGGTGTTTCCTACAATGACAGGATTATGCTCTTTTTCTCAATACAACCACCAGATCCTCAGAGAAAGACGTTGCACTAGCTAGCAAAGAACAGCAGAAGCACTAGAAGAGCAGCAATCTACCCTGACAAGCAAGAGCCAAGTTCAGATTGATGCTTGTTCTTGAATTGAAATGTTTGAAGTGACATGTGTGCAATTTATTCAACTCAAGTACAGAATATTATGTTACTTTAAAACAAATTATATCAAGTATCACACCAAGGTACCTAACTTACCCCTCCCATTGTAATGCCATCGATAAGTGCCACATATGGCTTCTTGCAAGTGCCTGTAAGAATGTAAAAAAAAAAAAAAAAAATTGTAAGTTTTTTTTCAAGAGTGGACCTGTGACTAACTGTATACATGACACATTTCCCCATGTCTTACTTCAGCAAGAGCAACAGAAAATAAACAGTAAATTAAACAGTAGAATATCAACTTATAATGAAGGTATTTCATGTAATACTTAAGCAATGAAAAGAAACACCAGTTACCGACTTACTGCATTCTGAGTGTTGTAAGATAACATTATACAACCATCAAATGTTTGCTATGGGAGTACCTGACAATTTAGCCACATCTGGCTATCATAAATAGCTTTGTAGGACATCGGGACACACAGTTTCCCTTTCACCCAATCTCACAGCCTAGATTAGCAGCACAGAGTGTGTACCAGCACTCTAGTACTTTACTACAAAGCCAGATACATTGGTAGGTTTCACCCAAAATGTGCCATAAACTACTGCAATGCAAACTTGTTCTGTCTTGCCAACTCCGTTTCATGTTACAACCCTGAATGTGGCACAGGCAGGTTAAGATGATATTGTCCTAAATTACCTAAAGTTTTATCTATGAACTTGATCTGCTGGGGTCTTTAGGAGGCCTAAAACCAAAGATCTGATGCTTTCAATTACCATTCATAGGAAGATTCAGAAGTTCACTGTGAGTGAAACTCCTGCCTCATATTCAGTATTTTCAGGTCAGACTTAAAAGTTCAGCCACATTGCTGACATGGCTATCCACTGCAACCATGTATAGATCCTTGTTTAAAAAAAAAAACCCTATTTTAAAAGGCAGTTCAGTCCTTTAAATAAGTAGTTAGAAAATATAAGGGGAGACCTTATAGCGGCCTTCCAGTACCTGAAGGGGTCCTACAGGAAGGCTGGGGAGGGACTTTTTACAAGGGCCTGCAGTGATAGGAGGAGGCGTAATGGTTGGAAGCTGGGAAGGGGCCAGTTTAGACTAGATATAAGGAGGAAGTTCTTTACCCGGAGGAGACACTGGCATAGGTTGCCAAGGAAGCTGTGGCTGCCCCCTCCCTGGCAGTGTTCCAGACCAGGTTGGATGGAACCTTGAGCAACCTGGTCTGGTGGGAGGTGTCCCTGCCATGGCAGGGGGGTTGGAACTAGATGATCTTTGAGGTCCCTTCCAGCCCAAACCATTCCATGATTCTCTGATAACAGAATTGCATTTTTAACTTAGTTCTTACATGAATGTATAAACTAACGCATGGGCTCTAGATGCTAGTCTTTGAACAAGATTTCTACAGAAGCATGCCCTTCCAATAGCAAATGCTGTGAAAGCAGCTCCCCTGTGTATTTTTAAGATATAAAATACATATATACCTCTTATATTAGATATAAATAAGTCTTTGGCAGAAATCTCAGTCTCAAAGGGATACAGTCACACCAAAGTTGTCAAAAACCTAAGTTTTATAATTACATGCATTATAGACATAGTACACCTTAATCATTTAAAAAACAAAACAAAACAACAAATCTTTAAAAGTACATACCCTTGCAATATTTGAATAGACTAGAATAGTTACTTGGAAGGGACCTACAATGGTCATCTAGTCCAACTGCCATGGTAACACTAGTTTTTCCCAAGTACCTGAAACCTTAAACTATTTTTCTTGATGAAGATACGAAAGGTACATGGCAAACATGCTAAAACTGGAAATGCTGTCAAATGAAGTAAAAATGACTTTTCAGAAATTACTCTTAATCTAGTAACTCTATGCTTTGCTGTCAACCTAAGTTGATATGGAACACGTTCACCTCTCCTCCTGTAATGACTAACGCTGGTACAATATTTAAAAACTCAAACTATATTCAGTTAAAGTATATTTGGAGAAGTTTCCTTTTACCAAAACATTTAACTCTTGACTTGTACCCTAAAGAATTAATATCCCTTCTTAATATCCTTTAACCCAGTAAACGTTACCCAGTGTCTTTGCTCTTAGTTATTTTAAGACCACATACTCCTAGGTTCTTTGCAATAAACTACGGCAGCTAACTCCTAGCTTGAATATTCACTTATGCAGTTTGTTTAAATGGAAAGCTTTAACATAATTTGATCTTCTGCTTTATGACTGAATATTAATGATTTCCCATGCATCTATTTTTCTCAGGTCTTCTTTGAAGTAAATTAATGATACTTAGTGCAGAACTGCACTGTCTACATCTAAAACTTAATTCATCCGCAGTGGAAATACAACTACCCAGAACAATGGGATGGGATAAAGCAGCTATTATAATAGCTTAAACAAAAGAAACAAATTCTGCATGCAAGATATAAAAATGAGATGTGTTACACCACTGGTATTGAACTTGGCAAAAAAAAAAATAATTACTACTTCTATTATGTTATCACAGTCATTTAGAGATTAGCAAAGAGAGAAAGTCAATTTACATTCAAAGTCACCATCATGAAAACTACTGCTCCAGAATTTGCTATTAAACATACCAATGGCATTGTTCAGGATATATTCTTCTCTGAAGAAATCTTGTGCCAGTCTACCTCCAACTTTTCCTGCATCTGTGATGGCTTAAGAAAAATAAAAGTTCTAAAGATAACTGTAAGTTTAATAGAAAATACAAGGAAAAAAGTTAATATCACATGATAACAGGTTTTTTTCTACAGCAATCAAACAGCAACTTAATCCTGTTTTATTTTGAGAAAATCAGCTCAAACTTAAATATGAACACAAAGTTTCAAATTTGAGTCAATTCTATTACACTGGAGACTTTGTCACACACTTTTGAGAGTGCAGTGCATTTTCTACGCTCTGGATCCCCTCCCAATGTCTGGTAGCATTTGTGATATTTCATATCAATATATCAAACAGTCACTTAGAACTGATTATACTGAAGACTGACTACTAAAAACGAGAAGCCAGTTAGAGCAGGATGTAATTTAACAATAACCTGTGGTGCTTGTTTACCTAAAATTTAAAACAACTGCTAATTTTCACAGTTTGGAGATTTCCTACAGTTCATATTACAAAATAATCACAGGGACATTGATGACCATTGTCAGCTCTGTATCTAGCTATCTCAAACATCAGACACAAATTATCCAACAGTAACAGAGCTACCTATTATGACCCTTCAAATTTCTTGTAAAGAAGCTGTCAGTAATGTAAATCTGGGAAGAAAAAGGTAGAGACAAGAACACTCTCTTCCCAGACTGGCTGCTATTACCAGTTATTCCTAAAAACCTGGCTTTTATTCTTTTATACTATGTTCCAATACCTGTCTCCTGACAAATAACTTAAACAGCATCTGCACATCAAGGTGTTATAAGAAGTCAGCACAATAATCTCTCTCACTGTTGTGTAGCAAGCCTCAGTTTACCTGAGTCACAGTAAATAAAGGAAATCAATGCAATGTAGTAAACAGCAAGGATATGTCAAATGGCTAAGTCACTATAGTCCTTACCTCTGATATCACCCCCAGCACAAAAAGCTTTTCCTCCAGTTCCCTTTATAATTATTAGGAAAGTTTCAGGATCTTGCTCCCAAGTCTAAAAAGGAATAAATGTTTCCATGTAAGATTAAAGTCTCTGCAAAAAATGCTTTCTCTATATGCTGCCTACAATTCTTGGTTTACTTTTTCAAAAAGCAAAATAAACTGTACTTAAAATAGTTTGTCTTAAACTGAAGTTTGAGACCTAAGTGTCTTTCTGCTACTCTTGTGTCCTGTTTGACTTTGACATCAGAGCTCAGCAGAGCTGTCTTGCGTATTTCAGAAAAACACCTGTGCAGAGCTCTACAGATTAAGTATTTCTTTCTTTAAATGTTCTTCAAAGAACGCATAAATTTGCAACACAATCATCTACCAAAATACCAAAAGGTGGGCAACTATGCAGCAAATATTGGTATCTAGTAAGTTTGACTTTATGCATACGATAAATAGTATCACTAAAATGGACTATTTGCATGCTTAAAATTTCACATTACTTCACTAGCTTCTAAAAACGGGGCCTGTAAAACTATCAAGGTCTTCTTTAAGTAATGACACTGACAGCACCTTGCTTCCTAATGGCTTGTATCTTTTATTTCAGCCATGCAGCCTCCCCACAAAACATGCAGGCAATCAAGAGAAAACACCACTGTATAACAAACTGACCAGCTGGGTGTTGCCAAAAGGAACAATAAACGCTGAGCACTGCTTGCTTTTAATTTGGTTTTGGTTTTAATATGGGTGTCTGTCTATCCAGGTACTAAATTTAACTTTGTCTGACAGCTTGTTTCTTTGACGTGTCTTCTCCTCTAACTTGCTTGAAACAGTCTGTTCTTTCCTATCCTGTAAATCCGAGCATGCTGGCCAATGCAATCACACAGACTTTCATTCTTTAAATCAGCACACTAAGAAGTGTCAGACTGAATTTTAAAATCTGTTTTGGATAACGTATGTACAGTTGTCACGGTTGGGATGGGACACGACAAGAGTATATGTAAGAAGGCAGCCTTTATTAAGTTACAAAAGCCAAGATGGCCGAGATGGCGCAGCAGAAAAAGCATACCCTTTTATAACCTTTCTTATCTGTCCACCGGTGCATGCACTAAGGCTGCTAAAATGATTCACTCAATAGCTCTATCCATTCGCCTCTATTCACATACTGATTGGCTGGAGCTCCTACTGTATTTCCCACTTCATCTACTGTTCTCTTGCCAAATTTCTGCTCTGTGGTATTCACTTGTTTAGTCTCTTCTTGCTCAGTCTCTTATCACTTCCTCAAACCTGTTTACAACACTCTTCATCCACTTCTTTCATCTTCTCACGGGTATACTGGGATGCTGTCAAGGCCAACTTCATCTTCTTCAGTCAGGCTATCCCTGACATATAGTGGATGGGTAGAAGCAGAGCTACTAACCTTTATTTGTGGATAAATTTGTTGGATCATGGAAAGATTTAGTGCATTGAGAGCCTTGGGTCTATTCAAAGTTATTATTCCTGCACCTCCTCTCTTTTCCAACAACACTTCAGCTGTCGAATCTGTTTGCTTAGACATTTTCTGTACATGCAAAAACAAATAAATAAAGCAAATGTCATCAGCTGGATATCTCCAGTAACACACTTACAATAGTATTTACAGAAATGTATTCTCAAAACGCACTGTTTGAGAGCATAAAACATGCATTTTGGAATTGTACGTTAAGGCTGCCCACGGCACTTCAAGATTTATTTGCATTTCCTAAACGGTTCTTTTGAAACCATTTTATGTTGCTAATAAACCTCAGACAAGTTTTTGAGCCATACACTCTTTGATAACAACATTTGAGTTCATTAGGAAAAAAACCCAACAATAAAACACAAAAACATAGTTCTTTAAGACTGTCGTTCTGAAAATACCTGCAACAACCATAACATGGAAAATTCCATGTGCCCCTACTGGCAGTCAATCATTGTAAACCCAAATGCACTCACTGCTTTGTCTGTAGGTAACTTAACAGCAGAGAGCAAACACTAAAGTATTTTAACAATGTATTTCAAACTCACAGTTGAATGATATTTAAGGAATATATGGAAGCTTACATAGAAACTAACTATAAAAGTAGGTAAGGCCAAAATAATTAAGCCTTGATTTACAGTATAACAGAAACATGTGCCAAAGTGCTCCAAGACGTGTGCAACATTATGCCTGAGCAATAAATAATGGCATTTGGAACCACTGTGCGCAGACATATTAGAAGCTGCATGTGCTGTCTGTCTTAGGGGAGTTAAGAATCTTAAAAGCATCCAACTCAGTCAAACAAGATGCTGTTCTTACCAAATGTTGTAATATTACTTGCAGTCTGTTGAATGGCTTCAGTCTGAAAAAGAAATATAAAAAAAGATAGCTAAAACTATAAACCAGCTACTCAATCCCCAAATATATGACTGCTGAGTTAAGCAAAGCTTTGTCAGAAACATTTATGACCACAATTGTTTTACATTCTCCTTTTTAAAATCAAGTAAATCAAACTGCAACTTTGATATCAAAACTGTTGGAAACTTCTTTGCTTACTAGTAAATAGGTAGCAGGTACCAATGCCAACTACTTATGTTTTCAATGCCTTCAATTTCAAGTTAGAAGGAAAACTTGGAAATAATAAGACAAAGAGTTTGGGGGATATGTTTGACACTTAGCAGTGTGTGTCTTTTAAAGATTCACAGCCCTTTTCTGGAGGTTTAAATATTGGCATTTAAAAGAAAAAAAAAAAAGGTCTTGTTAAAAACTTGTGCATTTCCAAAGTTTCCATTACAACAAACCTTCCCTCATGTCCTTGTGTGTACATACATTTACATAATGTTTATGTAAAAGCTTCAACAAGGCTCACGCTTCTGTTGCTGACAGGAGATACCTGTGCTGGGATATTTTGTGAACATGTTACTCCATTTAAATAACGAGGCTGTTACTTATTAATTGTCATTGTACTCTGTCAAGGAAGGCTGTTAACGGCAACACTCGCTGGACTTCAGACACCTGGTTTGCATCAACATTAACGAGCAACTTTACCTTTCAGCCACTTAAGAGGACAAGACGCAGTCAAATCACGTTACACGCTAACGTCCCGGCCTCCTAAGCTAGTTTGTAAATACACGCTCGATTTAGAACGGGAAAGTTAATCTAGGCCTGGCTAACCCAGGCCTAAATCACATTTTACAGCAGTTCGGGGGTTGACAACCCCTGGCATTAGAGGCCTTCCCAGACCATCGCCCCCCGCCGCAAGGCACCCGGGCCAGCGCCATTTAAAGCCCCTCAGCGACAGGGGGGAATGCGCAGGAAGAGCTTTGCCGCCCTCAGGACGGGCCACCGCCGCTTCTCCGTTACCTGGGCAGCGGCCTCAGCACCCGGGCCGCCATGGCAGCAGCCGGCGCGGTGGGACGCCC